GGGCTGGGCTACTTTAGTTGACTTTTTTATCTTCTGGCAGATGCAAGGCTTTGACACCTTTTCTACTATTTTTGAATTCTTTTACTTCCTGGATCTCTCCTTTGATTTCCCTCCCTTTTTTAGCTCTCTGCGTTTCAAGTGGTATTTCCACCCGCCCTTGATCGCAGATATCCCTGATTCCCCTGACGGATGGACCCAGCGCTACTTTTTTGTCTCTAGGGATTCGTGGAAATCCTCTGCAGGGGAGGATTGTCATCTGTGGGTTCCTCATTCTTGGGTAAGTTTTCGTGAGAGAGGTAAGTACTCCGATGGTCTTTTGTTGGTTGACTTTCGTTGGTGAGAGCCATTCTTGCCCCATATTGAGTTGATGTTGTCTATGCAGGCGTTCCCGGGCTTATTTCGTTGGAGGCTTTCCATGTCAACATGGTCGAGAAAGCTTTCCCTATGTCTTACTCGGTGCTCGTCACCCTATAGAACCTTATCCATTTTGGGTTAGGGGGTAGCTCAACTCGAATCCAGCCAACACCCTATTTTCCTGTAGAGTTGGGTGATGCTACCACAGTTTGGAGTACCAAGGTGGAGGCCCTGAAGAAAAAGCTGGAGGTGGTGGAAAGGGAGAGGGATAACCTGCTGAATGAGAATGCTCAACTCAAGGAGGTGAATGTCCAGCTGGAGAGAGGGGAACGCAAGTTGAAGGGGGTTGTTGTAGAGAGAGTTGGTGATGGGACTGCTGACAGGGAGGCTCGTGTTGGTGGGGGAAGTGTTTGATTGTAGTTTCTAAGTCCCGGCTAATGTGTTTCTTTAGTTGCTGCGAACTCTTTTGATGGTGAACTCTTTTGATGGTGAACTCTTTTAATTGTGAACTTTTGTCTATGAACTTTTGTTTACGAATGGTTGTAAACTTGCTGGTTGAATAAACTGGACCTTTTAGCATGTCCTATTAATCTTGTTGTTTATCTTGCGTTTGGCAAACTTCATTTCCGAGCTTACGAGCTCTCTTGGGCTGAAGAACCCGGATTCCCGAGCTTACGAGCTATCTTGGGCTAAAAAGCCCGAATTATCGAGCGTACGAGCTCTCTTGGGCTGAAGAACCTGGATTACCGAATGTACGAGCTCTCTTAGGCTGAAGAGCCTAGATTTTTGAGCTTACGAGCTCTCTTGGGCTGAAGAGCCCGGATTCCCGAGCTTTATGAGCTCTCTTGGGCTGAAGAGCCCATATTACCGAGCTTACGAGCTCTCTTAGGCTAATGAACCCGAATTACCGAGCATAGGAGCTCTCTTGGGCTGAAGAGCTGAGATTCCCGAGCTTATGATCTATCTTGGGCTGAAGAGTCTAAATTCCCGAGCTTACGAGCTCTCTTAGGCTGAAGAGCCCGGATTCTGTGTTCGCCAGTAGGGTTCATCAGAGGTCTTTACCTGCATGAGGACTTAAAAAAAATTTCATTGACTTCCACAACATGGGTTTTTACAATAGCTCTACTTGTCATTATGATGGCTTCAGGGGGTGTTACTCATAGTAACGTTGCAGGTGATCCGCATTCCATGAGTGTTGTAGGTCCTGCCCTTCCTCTATCTGTAACTCGTAGTTTCCAGGTCGGACAACCCTTTTCACAACGTAAAGCCCTTCCCAGTTGGGGCTGAGCTTTCCATTGGTTGGATCTTTCCTTGCTGGGAGTAACTTTTTTAATACCAAGTCACCCGGTTTGAAACCTTTTCTTTTCACCCGCCTGTTGTAAAACCTAGCCGTGTTTCTCTGATAGGGAAATATCCGTTGTAGTGCCTCATCTCTCTTTTCGCCGAGGAGATCGAGGTTTACTAGCAGGGACCTCTCATTCTGTTATGGGTTGAACAGCTCGGCTCCCACAGAGGGCACACCCACCCCAACTAGGGCCATCGCCTCGGTCCTGTGTGCCAAACTGAANGAGCTCGGTGACTCTGTTAGGTGGGGCTTGGCGCTCTTGAGGAGGGGCATCCTGATTGGCCTGGGGTGAAAGAGGTTCTTGACGTGCTGACGGGATCTGAGGAAGCCGATGTGTCTGTATCCACTCCATCANGATATGCCCATAGGACTGCTGGGAGGTGGTCCACCCATTGAGACTTAGAGGCCTCCAATTTGGTCTTGAACGCCAGCTTAATGGTTCTGATAGTCACCTCGGCTTGTCCATTGCACTGGGGGTGGGCAGGAGCCGAGAAGTAGTTCTTGATCCCCAGCTTGGCGCAGANGCCTCTGGAGGGCGATCCTCGATGTCTCTTTCTGGGACCGAAAAGTTCTCCAGTGGGTTCTGAAGGACTTGGGGATTGGCTAGAGCTTTACTCATGTTCCGAGTAGAAACCATCAAATAAACAAAATATTAGAAAGGAAATGATGAAAAACCGTTCCTACAGACGGCACTAACTGATGATGTCTCAGAAATTATGGCCCAAGTCCAGTTATGGACAGGGAGTTGATGAGTTTTATTTAGGTGGTGAGAACTGAGAGATAGCCTAATCAGTAGGGAAGGGCACAGGTATTAAATGGTTTACCCCAGTTGGCGGACTGAGGTTACATCCACTGTAATGGAGTTTCTTACCCCTTGAGCTTGTATATTGATTCCTTTATTTGAGGTAAATAACCCTACAGGCACTGGGCCATTATAGGAAGTTATATTCTAACTCGTACATTCTTTTGTGTTCGAACGCCCCGAAGGGGTTCCCATCGGCTCCTCTTATCTGCTTGCTGATTCTGTGGGGACCTTCCGTCTTTGCCTTGCAAGTAAAGCCCTGCCAGCCGGCATTACTGTACCCACTGTGCTTGGGTCGTTACGCACCACCACTCCCCTTAGGTAGGTGTGACTGTCATAGGTTTCAGAGATGGTCCCCTTGTCCTTTTGGGACGCATGGCATGGTGGAATGTGTCTAAAGTTAGGATTTGACTTCTCCTTCTCTGGCTATCTTTCGGCTAGGGTCGGACCGCCGGTCCTTTTGGGCTTTACTTCTTGATATGAGCTGGCTAAGTATGCTTCTCTTGGGCCAACAGGCGAAGCAGAATGTTCTGAGCTCATTGGGCTCCATAGCCATAGCGGCCCATACTTAAAATTTTGTCCCCATCAATATCCAATTTTTGAAATTCTAAATCTAATATTGTATGAATTTCTAGAGAATGTTTTTCTTGATTTTGTTAATATAAAAACTTGGTGGAATTTTATTTATTAGACGTTGATAGGTCATGTGTTTGGTTTTGAAGAAAGAGTGTAGCCCTACGTTTAAGGCTTGTGAATTAAAATACTTGAAACAATTATATTATTAATTACAGTTAAATATTTTAATATTTCATACAAACTTAAAATAAATATATCATAATATTCAATTATTACTCTTATCGTAAATTATGAAAGTTATAACGTAAGACAAAGTTTTTTGCACTTTGTATTCTGAAAGATTTTAAAATTTTTACTTTATAATTTCAAAGATTAACATTCTCATATTAGACTATTAATATATCAAAAATATTGTAATGTNTACTTTATAATTTCAAAGATTAACATTCTCATATTAGACTATTAATATATCAAAAATATTGTAATGTGACTCTTTTATTAGTTTTTGTTATTTTTTTTGGTCAAAATGTATAAATTAACAGAAAGCTATCAGAATTTTACATTATAATATTTTTAATATATTGAAAATATAATATAAAAAATTTAAACTTTAAAAAAATAAAATAAAAATCTTAAAATCTTTTAACACACAAAATGTAATTCGCTGGCAATCGGAAACTCCTTAGCCAAAAGGCCACAAGGCAACCCCAACTTGCAGACGTATGTTGAATGAAGTGTTACATAGACGATAGACACTAGGACCCTCAAAAACCATGGGCCAAGAACACAGTGACTTGCACAAAAAATTTTGTGTCACTGAAAATAAAAGAAATTATCAATGAAAGATATTAAATTAATATATCTGCAATTACTGATTATAAAAATAATAATTTTGAACTAAAATAATGAAATAAAAAATTTACGCTTATTTTATCTAATAAGTAAATGAGAAATACAAATATTGTATATTTAGTGTCATTGTAGAACCCAAAATTGGGGGAGAAGACTCGGTCCTCGGTCCGTATATTTTTTTTGGTACCATATGGATTTTTTTAAAAATAAATTTTAAAGATCATTTATAATTTTTGAAAGTTATTTATGATTTATAGGGGCCATTTATAATTTTTGAGAGTTATTTACAAATCTTGTGGGTTATTTATAATTTTTGAGATTGTTAGAATCGATCCCAAGGTAAATTCAAATATAGTAAATGACTTTCAAAATGTTATAATTTTTTAATCATAAAAGTTATAATTTAAACTAAAAAATTGTATATTTTTTAATTATAAATAATTCTAAAAATTTGAAATTAAATTTATAATTTTTTTAAAAATGTTATAAGTATCTAACTCAATACAATTATTAAATTAATTATAAATTTTAAAATTAGATGAAACCCAATTTTAATTAAATTCACAACTCACGTCTAAATAGTATTTTCTTAACTTTTTTATGAATTCGCGTCCGCCTTTTGTGGATATTATTGAAGAGACTAAATGTTTAATTTACTCTCAATAATGCAGCAGTAATACACTCGATCATATTAAATTAATAACTATGACTTAAATTAAATATTTTAGAGAGACAAAAATAAAGAAGAGTGAGATTTAATTTATTAATCTAATTTATTTGCCTAATTCACTGTAATATTTGAATTTATTGTAAACTCTATCAAATATTAAAATTTAGTATTGATTCAATAATTTTTATAAAGTCATATCATTATATTAATAAATTATATTAAATTTTAAATTCAAATAATATTATTTAAAAAATAAAAATAAAAATAACGACTCACCTTCTCTCCGCAATTATTATTTCTTTTTCTTGAAGTTATTAGTATCTCTCTCTCGTTTTAAAGTACACCACCGCTACTGACACTACACGTTGAACCATTTCCAGAGTCTCTCGCAATCTCAGACCATGACTACTCCAAAGCTTTTTCTCTTCCTCTTCCTCTTCACGTCAACGGTCATCATTCTCTCACGTGCCGACCTCCCCGGCACGTGGAAGCTTCTGGTGGCCGACGCTGGAATCGCCTCAATGCACACAGCCGTCACCCACTTCAACACAGTCGTTCTCCTCGACAGAACCAACATCGGTCCATCACGCAAACTACTTCCTCACCGCCGGTGCCGCCACAATCCCAGCGACTGCTACGCCCACTCAGTCCTCTTCGACCCAGAAACTAATTCAATTCGACCACTCATGATCCTCACTGATACATGGTGTTCCTCTGGCCAGTTCCTGCCCGACGGCACTCTCCTCCAAACCGGCGGTGACCTCGATGGGTTCAAAAAAATCAGAAAATTCACTCCCTGTGAACCCAATTCTCTGTGTGACTGGCAAGAGCTTGGGGACGTTGAGCTTGTTGATGGTAGATGGTACGCGACTAACCAAATATTACCAGACGGTTCAATTATCGTCGTCGGCGGCCGAGCAGCTAATAGCGTAGAGTTTTATCCACCGAGAAAAGGTGGCGCCGTACAATTTCCGTTTCTCGCTGAAATGGGGGACAATCAAATGGACAATCTTTACCCATACGTTCACTTACTTCCAAATGGTTACTTGTTCATCTTCGCAAACAGCAAAGCTGTTTTGTATGATTACAATGAAAACATCGTCGTTAAAGAATACCCACCGTTAGACGGTGGCCCACGGAACTACCCGTCGGCAGGATCGTCTGCGATGCTGGCTTTAACAGGGGATTACTCAGTAGCCACCATTGTTGTCTGTGGTGGAGCACCGTATGGCGCTTATCTTGAGCGGAATACTGATTCCCCGGCACATGGTAGCTGTGGACGGATCGTTGCGACCCAATCCGACCCGGTATGGGAAATGGAGGACATGCCATTCGGGCGGATCATGGGTGATATGGTGATGTTACCAACTGGTGAGGTTTTGATCATCAATGGCGCACAAGCAGGTACTCAAGGGTTTGAAATGGCTTCCAACCCGTGTCTCTACCCGCTTCTCTACAGACCAGATCAACCACTTGGACTCCGGTTCATGACTTTAAACCCAGGGTCGGTGCCAAGAATGTACCACTCCACCGCCAATTTATTGCCGGACGGTAGGGTTTTGATCGCCGGTAGCAATCCCCATTACTTTTACAAGTTCACCGCCGAATTTCCGACTGAATTAAGAATTGAAGCGTTTTCGCCGGAGTATTTATCCGCCGATAAGGCCAATCTAAGGCCAATTATAGTGGAAACGCCGGAGGTGTTAAGGTATGGAGAGGTGTTTCATGTGTTCGTAACAGTGACTTTGCCGGTGGTGGGGCTGGTGGAGGTGAACTTTGCGAGTGCGCCTTTTGCGACCCACTCGTTCTCTCAGGGGCAAAGGTTGGTGAAGCTGCCGGTGACGAGTGCTGTGCCGACCGGCTATGGAAGGTATAGGATTGGTTGTACGGCTCCTCCGGATGGAAAGGTGGCGCCGCCTGGGTATTATATGGTGTTTGCTGTTAACCAGGGTGTGCCCAGTGTCGCAAGGTGGATCCAAGTAGTTTCCTGATTTTTTCTTTTTTCTGTGGTTTTTTTTTTTCATTTTTCATTTGTTTTAATTTATTATTTTGCTGTTAATTTGGATGATTGAATAGAAAAAAAGAAAAAAGAATAGACTTCTATTGAATTTATGAGATTCTGCAAGTGTTGATAATATTATACAGATAGATACCTCTTATTTTTTTTTGAAATTCTGTTTTTTCATAACTATTTTTTCCCAATCTCAATTAATTATTATTTTTCAAACAAAAAAAATTGTTTGAATTGATGTCGACGATTATAATCTATATTGTCTAAAATACAATTTTCAAAAACAACAGTCAACTAATTAAATATTACCATAGAATTTTAAGGGTAGATTTGATTCAAGTATTCTTTGGAACATAACAGTAGTTTTAGCAAGTTAATTAGAATTTGGTCATAATTAAGTTTTGTTAACAAAAGCATTTATTAGTGATAGGAAATAAAAAAGGTTAACTCCAAGGTAATTCCCATTCACTGAAATGTCGTATGGGTCGGCCTTTCAACATGTATAACAGTTAAATCAAGACTTGAACAACGATTGTGAGTTGAACTCACAAGCAAGGTTTGGATAAATGGGTATAATGGCGTTTTTCAAGTTGGTTATGAGTGTTTTATTTTTTTTCCCTTTTTCTTTTTTGTTGGCGATTTGATTTAAATGTTTTAAAATAATTATCCTGATTATTTCGAGTTAGACTTTATTTTCAATGTCATTGGTTTAAATGAGATGTATGAGAGAGATTGGCCTACATTATTGTAGTAATGTCTACAAAATTAATATCCGAGTTTTATGTATTATCTTCACCAATTGCTAGTTTCTCATATTGGTTGTTATCTAAGGTTTCTTGGTGTTTTTTTGAAAGGAAGAATGCCTCCACAGGTTTGTTCTTTTGTTGGAAGTTCTCGTGTATGATATTGTTTTCAGCTCTACACCCTTCACACCACACACCACTTGTCAATAACAAAAACCCAAGATGTTGTTTTCAATCAAAAGTTACTTTTCCAATACAATATAGATTAGAGAGAGAGAGAGAGAGAGAAAGAGCGAAGTATCAATGTTCTAATCCTAATACATTGCTTTACAATAAACATGCCACTGAAAAAGAGTTTCTGTTTACTGTAAAAAAAAAAAGCCTTATCAATAGAATTTTATTTCTTTTCTTGTTGTTCGTAACATAACAAGAAAAATGTCACCGACTTATTAAATGCTCGTTTGACAATGTTTATAATTTTTTATTTTCTAAAAAACGAAAAACAGAATTAAAAAACGAAAAACGTCTTTTTCTCGTTTTTGAAAATCGTCCCTCGTTTACAAAACGATGAAAAAAAATAAAATAAAAACGGTTATCAAACGAGTTTTTTTTTTCTTATTTTTTGTAAATATCAAAATAAAAACGAAAAACAAAAAATATAAACGTTACCAAACGGAACCTAAATAAACTCATATTTTAAAGTCATTAGCATGTCAATTGAGGTGTTCTAATCATATCACCAGGGATAATTCGTGTCTGAAGGTACGATGCAATGTGAATAATTTTAAGAGGGATGCTGGTGACCGTTGAATGAGTCTATTTAAGACTATCAGGGTTGTTCGAACCGGTTAACGCATACTTCAATTAATTCTCTTCGATCCGATCAAAGGCAAACTCATCTATGTCAGAAATAGGGTATTCATGAGTGATAAACCGCTCATGATCTAATCACAAAAAATTGTCAAAATTCAAAATTAATACGTTTGAGTTTACAACTTATTTCTACTATCACTTCAAAATATTCTTGAATCTAAGTTCATAGTATTAATCCCCATGATAATAGAGGTTGGTTAAGGGAAGTGGGAATAATAACGCCTTTGACAGATTGAGAAAGTAGCCTTTAATGACTAGGACAGCAAANCTTCAAAATATTCTTGAATCTAAGTTCATAGTATTAATCCCCATGATAATAGAGGTTGGTTAAGGGAAGTGGGAATAATAACGCCTTTGACAGATTGAGAAAGTAGCCTTTAATGACTAGGACAGCAAAAACCCATGACCAAATTGGATCAAAATGATGTCATTTCGTATATTTTTATTGGTTTACATAGAGTTAACGACAGTATGGTATGGTTGCACTTGAATGGAATGGTGGAATCAATGAGAAAATGAGTTGGAAAGAGACCTTTAAAAGGATGCTTTATAATCACTCACATAATACCCATTTTATGTTGATTTTTGCTTCAAGCATACTCTATGTGGTGATTGGGTATGAATTGTTATGTTTTTTTAAAAAAAATTATTACATAAAATAGAAGAGTAATGTTAGATTGACTAAAAATAAGACCAAAATTAAAGATTAAATGATGTAATATTGACATAGTGATTTTTTTTTATCTCACTTTTATAAATTTATATTTTAAATACTAGCAATGCACTACGTGCGTACACANTGTAATATTGACATAGTGATTTTTTTTTATCTCACTTTTATAAATTTATATTTTAAATACTAGCAATGCACTACGTGCGTACACATGAATAGTTTTTGTACACAAAAATTAATAAAATATATTAGATATATGTGTATCTGAATTAAATATTATTTCAAGTTTATAAACTTAATTTTTCATTCCTTATATTGTATTATAAGGTTATGAAAATTTTGTATGTTATCAAAATTTTGTATCTAACTATTTAAAAAAAAAAAAGATAAAGTTCTAATTTTTTTTTTTTAGAATTTTGTGATTGAGATTGATTTTTTATTGATGTTTGAGAAATTAAATTTCTTAAAATTCATTTGATTAGAATTCTACTTATAATTTCTTGGACAAAATAAAAGTAATTGTCAATATAATAATTACATTGGAGCCTTATTTTAATTAGGAATTAGTTAAGCCAATTAGAATAAGATTTAATATACAACTCTATAATATATATTATCAAGCATATTAAAATTCTAAAAAATTCAAGTATTATTTAAAAATACACTACAATATCTATTTTTACACAAAATCTTGGTACAATTTAAAAATTTTATTGTGACTGAAGAATTATACTGATGTAAAGTAAATTGACTTTAAAAAACTACATATATGNTTTTATTGTGACTGAAGAATTATACTGATGTAAAGTAAATTGACTTTAAAAAACTATGTATACGATTATTTTTTATCTTATAAATGAAAGATTTAAACTTTTCGATAAAAAAAAATACACATATGTTGGTATAATGTTATCTTTGCATATAAGATAAGTGATATTAAATTGATCGAGTTTTTGAAAATTTTTTGAATACTTTATTAAAAATATAATAATGCATATTTTTGCAAGGGTAATATAGTCAATTAAAAAGTTTATAGAATCAATATTTATACATAGAAAATAGATAATTAAAAGAGATGATATAGATAATTTGGAGATGTTATAGAACCAATATTAAAAATTCAAGTTGCTGTGTGTTCTATTATATAGATTTTTGTATAAATATTAAAAAAATTAAGTGATTATTTAAAGAAATTTAGTTAAAATTGAGATGCAATTTTTAAAGTTAAATTAAATTTATTTATTTAGTTTGGATCAGATTTTGAATTGTTAATGTATTCGGATATTGACNAATTGAGATGCAATTTTTAAAGTTAAATTAAATTTATTTATTTAGTTTGGATCAGATTTTGAATTGTTAATGTATTCGGATATTGACTACAAAAATAAAAAATGTTTGATTATCGGATTAAACTTTCAAAGTCAAATTCAAATTCAAATCAATCAAAATCTGATTCAAACTCAATTCTTTGGCAACCCTACCCAAAATGGAATCCTATAAGTTCCAAGTTCTAACTCTGATAGGGATTGTAAGTGGAACGGGTCAATCTTAGTACCAGAACAAAGATTGGTAGTACATGGATCAGACGTGGACGTAAAATTTTTTAATCCCATTTAAATGAGGACAATACTCCAACCTGAGTCTTGGGTTCTCGGGCCTAACTTGAATTATGTTAATTTGGGTTCAACATACATCATACCCGAATTAATAAATTTGAGTTTAGTTTGGATTGCACCTCAATTCTAACCCAATTTGTGTGATTGAGAACCAAATTTAGTTTCTACTTGAATCCGACACAAAATCTATAACCTAAGTTTTAAACTCGATCTAAAAGGTTTCAACCCCTAGTTATGTAAATCGAGTTCAGAAACTTAAACATGAGTTCAATGATTTGAGTTGAATCTAAATTTGGGTTGAACTTGAATTGATAATTTTATGACTTAAATTGAATTTCAAATGATCTCTTACCTCATTCAACCCTCTCGAGTTGCACCCCTATCTTGTAAGTTCAAAGATTGGAAAATAGACCATTGCCCTTTTAGTCCAGGCTGGGCTGAGACCAACCACCAAAAATCCTAGAAAGGGAAAAAAAATAGAGCAAAAAATAATAAGAAAAATTATCCTATCATAAAAAATATTAACTATATTTTTACATATAATATTATATGAAATTTAAATTTAAATTTAATTAAAAATAAATTATATTGAAAATTTAGAAGTTGGAATTTAGGACTTTATGTAAACAAATAATCAAAAGTAAGACTTAATTGTTTTAATAAAAATTTGGTAGGACTTAGACTTACTATTGTTTTGTGGAGAAAAGTAGGAATTTTTTGGTGATTTCTCCAAAATAAAAATAAAAATAAATTAGCACCCAATTTGTTGAAGTGGCCTTGAATCCAAGCCCTACTTTGACAGACCTGGTCAGTCATATGGGCCCCCAACTTTGGGCCTGCTTTCACAATTGAAGTGATACTGACCACATGTAATAAGTCAGTCACGTAGTCCTCCCTTATCAAACTGGGCCACCACCACACATTCACACAATAATCCAAGGCAACTCATCCCCGGATGCGGATCCTCTGCTGTTCGGTTAAAACGACGGCGTCTGCCTTCTTTTTTTTTTGTTATTTTCCCGTTAAGCGGCACCGTTCCATTTTGTTCTTAAACGGTCCAAGAACAACAATTTGGTGCTATTT